CGTAAAAACGTGTGGTGATTGTGTGAGATAAAGGAGAATTTCATTGATTTCATAGAAGTTGGTGGAATGATAGGAGAATGTATTTCTGAACGCATTCTAGAAAATTAGTGTCTTAATTGACACTTGATGGTTTAGATATTGGACAATGTCGGTTTCAGTCTTATGCAACAGGTCTAATATGGCTGGCATTTCTAAAACAGTACAAGCTAGAATTACAGAAATGAATAAGCTGGATGAATTTGTGCCATGTTTGGCTCACTCCTCGTATTTTGTCAGTATGCATTCTGCTTCTTCGTGTCCGGAAGCAGTTAATCTGTTTGGAATTACTCAGAAAATACTTTTGTGGCGGATGCACTACTTGACAGTATATTATTAAAAAATGTACAAAATAAAACTTAAAAGGAAGCAGCCAGACGAGATGGCTGGAAAAATATGTGGCTGTGAAAGTCCTTCTAATGAACTTACCGGAAATATTCAAATATTTAAAAGAAATTAAAGATATTTTTCTTGATGCCGAATCAAAGGATGAGGTAGGACATCTGTTACATGCTGTGAAAAATTTAAATTTACTCAACCTGAATATTTGAGCAAATATTCTTCCAGAATTCAATGGAGTAAATCAGAAATTCAAAAGGAATTCCTCTTCTGCGTTCTGTGTAGTTAACGAAAGAACTGACCAAAACTGAGGAATTATAAAAAACGAGAGAAAAATCCTATGGAATATCAAATACAAGAGTCTAAAACAGTAGCCGAAAAAATTGCAGTTGAGTCTATTCTGACAAATAAAGAATTCAAAAGCAAAAAAAGCAATTGTTTATCAAATCTCGCGATTTTGGCAACCGAAAATCAAACCAAATTATGATCAAATTATGACAATTCCAAGCATTTATTTGCAGAACAAAAGACTTACAGTGTAAAATTTTAATTTTCGTTACTAATTCCGTGATATTTTAATAGCGTTAAGGCCAGTAAGAACTTAAAATTACTTATGGCATAGGAAGTATGAAAAACAAGACTGGAAGTATGAGAAACAAGACTGGAAGTATGAAAAAAAGACAGGAAGTATGAAAAACAAGACAGGAAGCACGAATACTCTCATTAATAGCCCATATTCTGTATAATCATTTCAGAATACTTCCTTTCGGCAATAGCCCATATTTTGTATGCAATGGTTCCCTTAGTGGCTGAGCACTAGTAGTTTGGTCCGAGGGTCAGGTATAGGTGAATGGGCTGGCTGTATGAGTATTCCCGTGATTTTCTCCGTGTGTGACATAGCTAGTTTTCCTTACAAAGTTTTCCACGAGATATTCCTCCTTTTCCATGCAGAGCCTAATGGCGAAACACATAGTAAATAATCAGACAAATGTCCTCAGCAGTGGCCGAGTGATTAAGATCGCTGTATACTGGTAGTTCGACCTTGCCTGGGTTCAAACCCAGGCGAACGGGCTGGCTACATGGTTTGTTTTCGTGGATTTCCTCATGTGTAACATGAATACAAGCCAGTTTCCTTTAAAAAGTTCCTCCACGAGAGCACCTCTTCTCTAAGCAGATACCAGTCAGTCTTCTTAAATTTTTTTTCCACAAGGCATTCCTCCCTTTCCATGCAGTGCCTAATGGCGAAACACATAGTAAATAATCAAACAAATGTCCTGAGCAGTGGCCAAGTGATTATAACCGCCTAATACTGGTAGTTCGACTTTGCTTGGGTTCAAACCCAAAAGAACGGACTGGCTGCATGGTTTCTCTTCGTGGATTTCCTCATGTGTAATGTGAATACGAGCCAGGTTCCTTTAAAAAAGTTCCTCCACGAAAGCACCTCTCCTCTAAGTAGGTAGCCCTGCTGTCTTTGCGATATTCATATAATCTAACTCGACCTAATTTAACCAGTAATGCAATAATAGGGAATAGTGAGAAGCTTAGGGGTTGCCCATTGTCCATAGAATGGAAAACGAATGGTGGCGAGGACTGGAGGGTTGGAAGCATTCAGGATTAGAGTTAGGATTAGGCTTGAATCCAAAAGTAAGCTCACCAGAAAGGCGATTCTCCTAGGGCTGGGACGAATTTCTAATTATGTAAATTCATTGTTTTTTCTTTTATAGCAAAAAAAGGGGGGGCATGTTAAGAATTTAGTATAAAATTGAGCTTAGGTTTTTACCTCAAACCCTAGCTATTTCTGTATTTATTAAAGAAATTAAAGCTTTTTAGAGAAACTTAAAGGATGATGGGTGAGGGCGGCAGTTTTAGCTTTTGCCCCACATCAGAAAAATCAAAGATCCGGCACTGCCACACATTACACTCATTGTCCAACATTTCCTCATCATGTAGCAAGTTATGATTCTGTCTTGGCCTGCACATTCACCAGATTTTTTCTTAATAGAGCATGTTTGCTATATGGTGTTGTATATACAGGTGCAACAAAGACCACCAGTGGCTGCAGCAGATAAACTTTGGCATTGATTTACAGCAATATTCAAAATATCTAGATTCTCTTCTTCAATATGTGTGCCTCATCCCATAGCATTGGTTGTTGTTACTACTCATTTTCATGCTCATTATTGATCATCGCATGTTCTTTTGTGCTATCATACCTGAAATTTCATTTTTGTATTAAAGGGAATCTATAATAAACATAATTGTGTTATCTTTTGCCCTTGCTCATGTTTTAGTTTTAAGAGTCAGCAATGTAGTTTAGCAGCAAGAGATAAATAAGCATAAATATTTTCGATGTCTTAAATTTAAACAGTATTTTTTCCCAATTAAAACTTTACAAGTTGTTTCAACCAATATATCAAATGTGGGAATTACTTTAGCACTTTGTGTGAAGTGATTGATTATGGTCAAGCAGCAGCTTCAGAAATTGGTAGTGGGCCAATAAAATCAATGTGAATAAGAAAATCTGACATCAGGAAGTAAAAATGCCAAAAATGGGTGATTTCGTATGCCTGTGTATCTTTGAACATTGAAATTTCTCATAAACCTTCATGGATTTCTTGATAAAAGTATCCATGTTAGGCCAAATTTAATGCCTGCATATACATTTTGAAGTGGCAGATATACTTGGATGTGAAAGACTGTGTATACTTTGGAAAGTGATAGGTTTAAATGAAAATGGAATGAAAGACCAAGGAACACTAGTTGTGAAATCACAGTAAAGATAAATATCTTCAAGAGTCAAATACTGTTTAGAGAATTTCAAAGAAGATTTGTAATTTAGCAATTGTTGTAGTTCAATGTCTGTAAATTGCATGGAAGCTAACTGTTGAAATCCAGAATGGATGAACGAGAAACAGAATCTACTTCTATTTGGGACAGCATGTCGGCAAAATATTTTACCTACATTTAATTTATAGTATATCAGTGAAAAATTGAGAGATATAATCAAGGTGTCTGAATTGTTTAGGAGAGCACTTTTCTGCTTTTTGTCTGAAAGTGAATGTTAGTAGTTTTTAGTCAGTAAGTATGGAGTTGCAACCTACTAACATATGCCAAAATTCATATATTTCCAACAGTTTACAGCCATATGTAGACCGTTTCCATTGACTGTTATTCAGTTTTAAAGAAAGGAATATTATTCTCTCCCATTCATCATTTTGGAGCTGCCATTGACCATTTTAGAGTTGCATGAGAGAGCTGCCAATAGCAACATCAAATGCATCAGTCCAAAGACTGATTTGAGCACTAGGAATTGGACGTCTTAAGAAGGTAACTTTGTCAAGAGCTTCTTTAGCTGTTAAAAATACCTTTACAACTTGAGGCCATTGGAGAGGACTTCAATCATTTTAGTTAGACAGAATGATTTCTTTTTGTTAGCATGGCGTTCGAGAAACTTCATTAAAGGGGACAAAATGTATGCTGCATGTGGTACAAATCTGTTAAGTTGTATTAATGTTGTTGGTCTAGAAAATTTAGAAACCGCATCAACTCAATCTGGAATTGGAGAAATTCCTTCTTTAGAGATTTTATATCTCAAGAATCTAAGGTAGGAACTCCAAATGTACAATGAGGGTTTTATTGTTAAACCATAATGATCTCGTCTTTTAAAGAAAGCTTATAGATGTTCAATATGTTCTTTATTGCTTTTGGAGGCAATCAAAATGTCATCAATAAATGCATATACATCCTTTAATACATCATCAAAAAAATCTTTAGAAAGTCACTGATGCATTATGCATAAACCAAATTGCATTCAAGTGCTCTGAAAAAGTCCAAAGAGTATACAGATAGCAGTTTTATGGACATCCTTGGGAGCTATCGGAATTTGATGAAATATTTTGACTAAATCTACACGAGAGATGGACCCATAAAGTTTCACGTTTCATTGCCATTTTTTAATCGAACATGGGCTTTTTTGATGCTAGGATACTGTAACTTAGAAAGTACTCCACTGCATACTATCCTGTAGAAAGCAGGACCCAAATATTAACCATTTTTTTCAAAATGTGAGGAGGGGGAACACAGAGCTTATATCCTTTTTTTCAAAAAATTAAACAGTCTTATCAAAAATTAATCAAATTTATGTAAAATTAAGGCAGAGTTTTTATGACTGTAATATGACTTCATGCTTACCCATTTTTGGTGCTAATTTGCACTATTTGGTAATAATGTATATGTGCTAATTGTATAATGAGCTCTATACTGATGTTAATTTTGTCTCATTTACTTAATTTTGGGGTGAAGAAAAATTTTTCTAAAATATTCTGTTAAGTTGAAAGCTGGATGGTCAGGCTTTTACTACATTATGAAATAAAATTAAGCAAAGAATCTAAAATTTAGAATATCTAACAAAATATTAATATATTTTCATAAATTGCATATTATTAATAGTTCAGTAGCTTGAACCATGCATTATAAAATTAATTTAAATCAATTTGAAGTTTTTTTGAAATGGCATAAAAAGAGAAAAAGCCTTTCTGAAACTTTTGGTTTTTCATATTTAAAGATCAGCAGCTGTTTTATTGTTTTAAAGTATTCTTGAAAGAACTAACCTATCTTTATTTCAGATTCCAAATGAAGGTAGCAAGTTAGACCAAGAAATGGATCTTTATTTGGTTGGAAGTGATACAATTTTCAGCTCAAATAGAAGTCATACTCTTTCATCATCTTTACCAGTATTAGATAATACAATGACTCGAAGCTTGAATGTGTCATTTGAGCCTTTTAGTTCTATTCCAATTACTAGTCCAGGTCTGTATATTTATTTATATATAGAGAGAGAAAGAGATATGTATGTATATAAACCAATAATTCATAGTAATTTATTTTAAGAAAACTATCCATATACTTTCCAAACTTTCCATCTCCAAGACACAGATATATATTATCAGATTCATTTAAAGATTATGTATATATATATCTTTATATTGGGTCATCCGAAAAGTTAAGATATTTTTTATGATAAGTACAAATGAGGCAATACAAAAATGTAAGAAACATTAAGTCACATAAGCACCTCTTTATTCTATGACTTTTTGCTATCTGTCTAGCAGCTGGAAAGTTTCTTCTTTTTGAACAAAATCTTTAGGTTTGTTCATAAATATATTATCGATATGCTGTTTGACAATTTTCAAAGAAGTGAACTTCAAGACATTCAGAAAGTTTTGAAGTGACATGAAGGGATGAAAATCCAAGAGGGCAAAGTATAATGAATATGAAAGGTGACACAAGACATCTCAGCCATACCCAAGCAGTTTTGGTCTGACATTCATTGAAATGTTGGGCCAAGCACTGTCATGATAGAAAACTACACCTCAAATATTAGTCAGTTCTGTGTGCTTTTTCGATTTCTGCTTTTAAAACTGCCATATGGCAACAATATTTTTCTGAATTTATTGTCTATTTGATGACAATAATTCATAGCATACACTTCTTTCATAGTATTGTCTAATTTGATGACAATAATTCATACCATACACTTCTTTTGTTGCACTGTCTAATTTGATAACAGTAATTCATAGCATACACTTCCTTTGTAGCCCCATCATACTGAAAGCATTGCTTTTGCCTCCCTCTCAGTGTTACTAAAGGAGGTTCTTTTGCTTAACCCATGATTTTTTTTGTAACATTATTGTGTATTATCCACTTCTTTTGTAGTGGATAATACACAATGTATTGTTCTGTAATGAACTGTTACAAAAAAGGAGATTTTCTTTATTCTTTCCCTTCCCCAAGGAAAAAAATCCCTTACCAAACTTTAGGAAGCACATTCTAATCTGTTAAACAAAGGGGTACCAACACATTGTAGCAACTTAATATCCAGTCTTCTTCAAATTACCATGTACTTTTGAATTATATTATGAACTTTCTGGAATATTTAGTCTGTCTGATACTTCCCAAACTTGAATTGGGACTTGAATTTTCAGTGATAGCTTCTTTTAATAGTTCCTTGCTTGCAGAGAATGATCATCCAGAGTAGGCATCATTCTGAGTAGGCTGAAATTTTTATGCTAAAGCTTTTCAAACCACCTTTGAACTGTTTTGGCAACAAAACCACTTTTTACATGTATAGCACAAATTTTACGAGCAGTCTGACTGGTATTTTTGTTTTCTTTTTAAAAATAAAACAGCATAATATGATGAAAATGAAATTTTGGGTTTTCCATTCTTAGCACTGCACTGAAACAAAAATTATGCTTATCATAAAAGAAATTTCGCATAACTATGTAGTATGAAAATTGTTTAAGGCTGAACAATTTTTATTATCCAATAGGAAGTCCAGATGCCTTTATATGCCACTTCCTTGGTATCACTGTCATTTTCTGAAATAGAATTTTGTTTCTTTTTTTTATGTTAAGTCATTTAAGGAAAAACATGTAATAATGATATTTTTAAAGGATAATAAAACTGGTATATGGAGTCCAGGTAATTTGTTGTGGTTCAAGTGGCACATGTTTTATCTACAATTTTGTTGCCAATATGGATTGTACCAAATATTACTAAAAAGCACACTCACTCTGTTAACATTGTAATTTTAAGATAAGTATATTAAAGATGTATGGTTAGCAGTAATACATCAATTTCCAGTGCCACTGTTTTAGATTTTACTTTTTTCCTTAATGAGAAGAAAAAATATTGTGATTATTTTTAAGCTAAGTAAATACAGACATTTCTGGAAATAAATATAATGGGTTGCTTTGTTTAATTTTTATTATATTCCAAGAATGATAGAGAACTTAGCTACTTGTATCATATGTGTTATTTCTGATATTATGAATATGAAATTTTATCAGGTACAAATATGATATCTCCGGGCACAACAATATCATCATCATCACCTGTATCATCAAATATCCTAAGTTCAGCATCACATGAAATCGATAGAATTATAGCTCGCATTGAACAAGATAATAGAATTTTAGCTGAACTAGAAAGATCAAGAGCAACAGTTGGTAAGTCTGTCGTAAATATATTTTTATGCTTTGGGAAATGAAGCGTATTTTTCTAAACTGTAATTCAATAAATTTAAATTGTGTTACCATGGGGATGTGAGACTCTTCAAGGCATCAAAAAATTTTTAATTGTATTTAGTAAAACATACTTATGTGCGGTACTTTTCATCAGTTTATGAAACCTTATAATTGTACTAATATATAAATATATAGGTTTTAGATAAGAATATATAAATATATAGGTTTTAGATAAGAAAAATATAATTATGACAATATTCATGTACATAATTGTGCTCATGGTCTTTCAAACAGATTAAACTTCCATTAAATTCTTACAACTAATGTCATACTTATTAATCTCCAAATATTTTGCATAATGCTGCAGTTTGCTCAGTACTTATTAGGCTACTTCCGTCAGTAATCATTTATATTACTTGCAACTTATTTAAATTATATTTTATTTTAAAGCTCAAAGTAATTTTTTAAAATGTGAAATCTTGTAAATTTATTTTCTTAATTCTTTTTATCCTAAATTATTTCTATTGATTATGTTGTTAATTTACAGCATTTTATAAAAATAAGGCATAAATGGATTTTTATGTATTAAAAAAGGAGGGAAGTAAAGAAATTCTGAGTTAACTGTGAAGTATAAAACATCCTCTTCTGATGTATAAATTTAATTATAAAATTGTAAAATTACAAAGTCGTATTTTCTAAATTTAATGAAAAACTGAGTACATGCACATATTAGTTACTGTATACAGGCTTGCAATACTAATAATAAAGTTATAAGTTTGAAAAGCAAAAAGATTAATATAATGAAAATTGCCATGACAATTACCTTCTGCAAATAATTCCCCTGGAAATAATCCATATTTCTGAGATTGTTTTATTAAGTGAATTTGAAGCTGTAATATCTCTATTTTATCAAATAATTTACAAAATTTACTAAAATGAAATTAACAATAACTTCAAGACCGGATTTATGTTATTGTAAGCCATATTTTAGCCACATAACTACCTATTAATCAAACTGGCAGCTTTTAAATGTATAAAAACATATATTCAGTGCTGATAATTTTACCTCGCCAGTACATTTTACTGGTATTCATAAAGGTCAAAATTTAATGCTGCAAGAACAGTCATTATACATGTGTGTTTACCCACATATATAATTCCAGTTCAATCACTTAGTTAAATAATCACTTAGTTTAATGAGTTAGTTGTTTTAGTGTAAAATACTTCAAATAAAGAAGATGAAGACTTCTTCAATTTTAACGAATTTCAAAAGCCTAAAATATAAAGATCTAAAAAGATTCTGTTTGCCACTGACTTAATTATTGTAATTTTGTCATATAATTTTAAAAAGAACAAGTGATAATAGCCTTTCATTTTCTTGAATAATGGACTTCTCATTAATTTTATTTATGATTTAAAAATTTTAATTAATGAATTATAGAATCCTATCACAATTTTCTAAAATATTGGTATAGTGTGGCAACAAATAATGCAATAAATAACAAAAAATCTGAACTAGAAAAATAAAATTATGTTATTATTTCTTTTCACTGATGCTTTTTATGTGTGTGTTGAAAAGTGTAAGATATAAAAGTTTTCTGCTGCTTGTAAAATTTTGCATGTTTAATTCTTCAAAATCTAAGCTCTGTCAAAGCCTTATAATTCTAATTTGCAAACATTTCTAGTATATTTATCTCAATATTTTATGTATGACCAATTAATGTTTCCTTTAAAGGAAAGGATAACTCATTTTATAACTTCATAGTCAAGTCCTGGGTATTATATAAATATATTAAAACTTTATACTACTTAACATGAATTATGATCAATGTATTTAAAGCCAAGATTTTAAGTGTTTATAAATTGACAAGCCTTCCTGATTTATATCAAATGTAGCTTTGTCTCCATTTTAAAACATCTAACATAAATTTTTATCAAATTGTATGATTTTATTTTAAATCATGAATCACTATGTCACTGAGATTATCATTTCTTTGGTCTAGCTGTAATGCTTTCTGCTATTGTTTATGACTAGTACTGTATAAAAAACTGAAATCTTTTTTCACAGGTTCACCTGTTTCAACAGCTAATCTTGAACGTTTAAAATCACAGTTTGAAGAAGACCAAAAACATTCAGGTGACATCACTCACAGATCTAATATGAGTAAGTATGGCAACTGAAGATCAACTAATTAAATACTGTAAAACTACTGTAATTTGTATTTTATAGAAATGGTTTGCTACATATCTTGTTCTGTTTTAATACATTCTTAATAAATAAATTTAATGTTCTTTCTGCATATAAATGCAATTGGTACTCAAATTATTGCAAGTTAATGCAGATACATTAGAAAGACTATATTAACTTCCTTTATAAGACAGCACGTAATATAATAAATGTAATAGTTTTAGTTTGATATGTTTGAAGATTCAAATTTTTTTTATGCATTTACAATATTTGAAAGCAATTTAATGCTTGAATTGCAAGCAACGAAAGAAGCAACCATGTTGATTACATGCATAAATTATTTTATTTGCAAACCAATTCACACTATGTAGTTTATTTTTCACTTGTATTCTCCATTTGCTTATGTTTCTAAGAAAAATCTAGAAGATCTATTTAAGTAATATTTTAAACATGCTTAAATCAGCTGTTGACACATTGTAAAAAATGTGCTTTCCTTATAACTGTAACTGTTTGGACAGAATCGTCTTTTTCTTCACCTGCTATTGACCAATTATTAATTGAATCTGAGAGGAATAAACAAATGTATTGGCAACTCCACAAGAGTAGGTATCCAAAACGTAAGTATTTAATCATCAGCCACTAGCGGCACTTTTGTTCCCATCTAGTGCCAGTAGTGCATTGCTAATTTTATGCTTAGCTTTTAATTTACATAGCTTTTATTTTATGTCTAATAATTTACAGCTAGTCATATTTGAGCTGTTTTTATTCTGTATTAATAATTAAGCATGAAATTTCAGTAAAAAACTATGCAAATTTTAAAGCTTGTATGTTAGAAATAAACCTATCTTTTTATGATTTTTATTATTTTTCTAACATAAAATTTAACAGTCTCATCTAATGAAGGAGCTGTTTCATTTAATGGCATTGAGATATTTTTATGAAAATGTCTTAATTTATTTCTGTGTTAAAATTTTACTGTTTTTCTGAGGAAATTAAAATTTTTAATAATCACTGAAAAACGCTTGAAGGTATAGAGTGAAGGGGGAATCTGATGGTTTTTATGATAGTGCTACTACAGAATAGAGCAAAAATATATGCAAGCATAATTATATATTAGAAGAATGTATACTGCAATTTTCTGAGGTTGCAAATTTTCAGTTAATTCAAGTTGGGCATGAAAATTTTGAAAAGCATGATGCAGCACAATGATATATCTGATACTAACTTTAGTTTAACAGTATGGTATCATAAGCTTTAATGAGGTGACAAGAAGGTATGTCTTGAAATCATAAACAAGGGAATAAGCAGCAATGATCTTCAAACAGTATTCACCAAAACTCTAATTAAAGTTCTAGCTGGGATTTCTCAGTCTAATGACTGCAGATTTCTTGCATGGGTCCAAAGTGATTGCTGCTATTACCTACTATATATATAAAATTTGCCAAATTAATGTTGTCAATTTATTAGGAAAATTATTTTGCAAAATTTTTGTGCATAACTCGAAGATTGCATTGATTGCAATGGAAAGCACCTTTACAGCTATTGCAATCTTCCAGTTGTGCTGTTTTATCATTTCTAAATTGTGATTGTATCTCGATCAATTACTGTAAATTCTCCTCTTTTTTCTATCAAAGCTCCTATATAATTTTCGCCCCATTCCCTTATCACATTGTTATGAAAACTGTCAGGTACTAATGTCCTACACTGTAATTAATGGCATAACGAATGAACTATAACCTAGCATTTATGAGCTTTGCCTAATTTACTAACTTTATATTTAATAGCTTAATTACAAACTTTTTGAATAAGTAATCATTCAAATTTTAAATACTGACTTATGCTGAGAAATGATTTTTAAGCTGCCTATCTTTACTACATGAATGAAGAAATTCTTTGATACATTTTTTTAATAAGGAAACATTTGTTTTTTATTCTTAATCTAGCATATTTACTCATTTACTAATTTTATATAAATTGATTTTTTTTCATAGCAAGTAAAAAAGTTTTATATTTAGGATAGCGCCATCACTCTACTAATATGTAGTTAAAATTGAGATAAAATATTCTAGGTTGGCATGCTGAAAACACATTTAAACACAGCTAAAAGGAGCTTTCACTCATCTGGAGCTGGAATGGCTGATTTTATCATGTTTTTTATTGCTCTCTGTTGTGTTCTTGTACTCAAAGAAGTTCTGAGAGTCTTTTCCAGGAAATTCTTTCACTCAGAATCAACGTCAAGATATTGAGAAGGCTAAAGGCCAGGTCTCTGTTGCAACACAACAATTTGGTGGAGATTTCAAACATATCTCGAATTTTGAGGTTGCTTTTGTGATGGGATCTGGAAATTATTTTGGCTTTGTCCCATTTAATTATTGAATGTAAATACTCAAAAAATTATTTAACCAAAGATTTGCTATTTTTGTTTATGAATTGGTTGGCAGAAAGTTTATAAATATTTCTTTTTATGCTTGGCAGTTCTTACTGAGAGTTTTCTAGATGTTGAACTGATGTACTGAATTGCTTGTTTCTGTACTGCGGATTGGGATAGTATATTTATAGAAAGCGTCTGTTTTGGCAATGTCAGATTTATTTTAGCAATTACAAACAAAAAGATGGGGCTGGAGTAATGGCAACTTTATAACCTTTAAAAAAAAAAAAAAAAAAAAAAGAACTGATGTATGGGATGATTGAATAGAAAGGGAAAGTTCCAATAAGTTTAATTTTTTGTAATTTTTGTGTCAGCAACAACTTTATATTTTGAGAAATAACTGAAGAAGCTTGTGTATTGATTTTCTTGGTAATTTTTTTTCTGCAAAATTGGGAGGATATCTATTGTTTTTTGCAATATATTTTGTAAAATTTTGGTATAGAATAGAAATCTTTGGCACATCATAAGTAAAAATAAAAAGCAGTTGTTTTATGCAGGTGAAGTGGCAGAGTTATTGGGTTGCCAATTGGTGTGTGATAGCTTGTAGTCTGAAGAATATTGCCGATTCTTAAAATTAAAAAGTTTAAGAAATTTAATGCTATTGTTGACTTCTCTTTTAATCATAAACAGCAGGCTGGGGAAGTTTTCTGAAATAAATGAAAACAAAGCTACTTCTGAATTTAGCACAAATATATTATCAATAAACTTCTTTCAAAAAAATGAGTTTAGGAGAAATTAGAGAAAACAAAAATTTTCTGCATGGTTCATGCAAATTTCAGGTGACACAAGGATTTGATGTCAAAATTGATCACTTTTGAAATTTGTACACTAAATTGATTTTTAAATGCACACTTTATATGAGGTAGGATTCAAAAGTTCCTAGACTGAGTGTATAATGTAAAAAATATTATGATTAAATTGCAGAAACACATCCTCCTTCGAAATAAGACCCTTGTGCAACAACACACTTTTGCCAGCACCTGTAAAGCTCATCAAAGCATGTCTGGAATCCATTTTTGGCCATGTTCTTTAATTCAGCCTGCGATGCACATTTAATTTCATCTGAAGATTGAAATCGATGAACCTACAAGCATCTTGCCAGTTCATGAAATAGGAATAAATCGCAGGGTGCAAGAATAGGTGAGTAAGGAAGATGAAGCAAAGCAGTTTTTTTGTTTTCGTAAGAAAGTCATTGACGAGTAGAGATCGGTGAGCAGGAGCTTTCTGATGCAACAGCACCTATGTGACTGCTCAGCCCACATTTTTGGTCTCTTCTTTGGATTGACTCATGCAAATGACGCAGGATTTTGAGGTAGAGTTCTTTGTTCACAGTACATTCTTCAGGGATAAATTCCAGATGCACAATTCCCTGGATATCAAAGAATACCTCTAACATGACCTTTCCTTTAGAGCGATCTTGGCCAAATTTCTGCTTCTTTGGAGGTTGTGGTGATTTTCACATTGCCAGTGCTCTCTTGGTTTGTGGCTCCTATAAGAAACACCATTTCTCGTCTCCAGTAACAATTCTGCCAAGTAGGGAAGGATCTTTGTTAACAGCCAAGATTAAGTCTCCCGCCATTTCCATTCGAATTCCCTTTTGGTATATGTTTAATGTATAAGGAATGATGTGTTGGCACACCCTATGCATGTTAAGATCTTTAGTCAGTATCTGCTGATATTTGGCGTCTAATATCCCAACTGATTCTGCTATTTGGCAAATTATTTGCTACCTGTTTACGTGTACCACCACAGACACCTTTTTGATGTTTTCATCGGGGAGCGAATGAATTTTCTCATTTTCTAGATGTTAAATTTATCTGCAGAATATTTAATTTTGCTCCTCTCCAATAATGCAAGTGCCATTTTGTTTCTGATAGTGGGTACATAAATGTTCGCGACAATTTTGAGAAGTGTTTCTTGTTAATCTGCTTTGCATCATTTTCTGTCGAAATAAACTTAGAAAGTTATTTCTTGATATGCATTGGAATTTCTTCTTTGAAAGACTGGTAATGTTTTGTCATACTGTATTGGATTTATCTAAAGCAGCAATGTTGCTGTCGGTTTCTATATTTGAATCTGTGGAAGATTGCAAAAATTTGCTAACAGCATTTATTCTATTAAAAAAGATTTCCAAAGTGCATATTAATGAAACAAATTCATATTCATCTAGTCTATTAACTAATATAAGCACTTTTGATCAAGCCTTTTCAATTTCATTTGTAGATAATTTGCTAAGTTCATTTTGAATGTTAACTTAATTATCTTTGTAAGGCTTTTAATACATCAGCTCATGCAGACCATCTCGTATTTGTATGAGGTTTTTTAGTTACACATTTTTTAAATATTCTGTGAGTAATAAATGCAGAGCAATTCCCCCCCCCAAAAGATAACTTGAATTTTATTTTCATGGAAGGGGGGCGGAAAAAGTTATTTCTGTCCATGCCAATAAAATTATTTAGTGGACAATTTGCATGAAGAACAATTTCTACAAAAGAGTTATTAACATTTTAAAATCCATTATAACAGCCATATTTTTTGCAATGTTATA